AAGATAAATGTTCGTAACGAAGACGTTATCAAACACATTACTACTGTTTGGATCTGAAGATAAATGTTCGTAACGAAGATGTTATCAAACACAGTAATGAAATAAAAGAGTTTTATAATGAAGACATGAAATAAACGCAAATTTTCTAGTTGCTGATAAATTAAGTGTAAAAAATATGGCTGTTTTGACTCTCTTCTATCCAAAACAAAAAATATTTGGCGATAATGTATAATGTTGTTTTTTGTAACGGAGATTCACGGGTTTTGAGTGAATTTTTGGAAATTATTCACAGAAATATCTACCCTTTTATCCAGCGGTAATGCATTTTTCCGAAAATGCCGTAATTATACGTGTGTTTAAAGATGGTTGACGTGCCGGATCGGACGATTCTCGGTTCGCACTGAAATGCGGCTGAAAAGGCTCGGTACTATTAGCTGTGCGTGCGTTATAAGGTTGTAATCCAATCTAGTTATTCAATTCAAATACAAACATGATGGATGGTGCTGCTGAATAGCTGCATTCCTTCTTGTCAGCAGTTCAGAATTAGAGATGGGTATTCCTGAACCCTAGGGAACTCAGATCTGGCCAGATTAGCCAACGTCCATATGAGGTGCCGTTCAGGTGAAAATACGGGTACTTCTTCAAGATGGTAAAGAAGCCCTGTGCTTGAAGAGATTTGATCTTTAGTTCAGTGTACTTTCACATATATTGTTCTCCGAATTCTCGTTGCAAACTGTTCTAACGAGTTAATGTTGTGTTACCTGGGATGCACACGGCTGGCGAATATCAGGAATATTTTTGTACGAAATTTAGTTTGAATGTAAAACTCGTGGCAACTTCCTACTGACTCGTTAGTTTGAATGTAAAACTCGTGGCAATTTCCTACTGACTCATAAGTTTGAATGTAAAACTCGTGGCAACTTCCTCCTGACTCATAACTTTGAATGTAAAACTCGTGGCAACTTCCTATTGACTCATTAGTTTGAATGTAAAACTCGTGGCAACTTCCTATTGACTCATAAGTTTGAATGTAAAACTCGTGGCAACTTCCTATTGACTCATAAGTTTGAATGTAAAACTCGTGGCAACTTCCTACTGACTCGTTAGTTTGAATGTAAAACTCGTGGCAATTTCCTACTGACTCATAAGTTTGAATGTAAAACTCGTGGCAACTTCCTCCTGACTCATAACTTTGAATGTAAAACTCGTGGCAACTTCCTATTGACTCATTAGTTTGAATGTAAAACTCGTGGC